TATAAAAGGCATTCCATGATTCAATCATAAAGTGTATTATAAATATATAATTTTAAGAATTAGAAAATAAAAAATTGCAAAATAATAGCTTAATAAGAATTTAAAAAAAAAAAAAAAATTGATTTATCTTTATGCTTTTTGTTTATATTGAATAATAAATAAATAATCCTAAATTCAACAACATTCCTAATTTAAAACAAGTTGAGTACTCTAACTCAACTCTTTAATTAGAATATTAAATGAGATAATGGAATTCAATAGTCGGTAATAAATAATTTAGGAATTTATTATAATATCTTTCTTATCAATTATCATAATCGCTTCTTTCAACTTTAGAAATACACCTTTTTTTAGAATCCTCATAGGCCGTATTCTGTATTAAAAATAAATCATTACTTTAGGTGATCGATTTTGAGCTCTGAATTCTTGAACTTAAAAAAGATATAAATTATCTAAATTGCTTTGAGTTTTTTAATTATGTTCTTGAAAAGATGATCTCTCAATTTCATAAAAAGATTTTTGATTCTTTTTTTCCCTCAACTTCTTTTTATCTATAGTATTTTTAAATTTAATAGTAAAAACGAAATTTGTTACCGTCAAAGATTTATTTATTTCTCAACAAAATATAACATCTTTACTAGAATTAACTTTAAAATCAAATTTAGAAGCTAATATAATTTATTTATAAATTAGATTTTATAAAACTTAACTTAACTTCTGAATATGTAAAAAATAAAAGGGTAATATACATTTTAATGAAACATCCAATAATAATAATTTATATCAGCATAGAAGGAACAAAATAATCCTTTTATTCTCAAATTTATTTAGTTAATGCTAATAATATTGAAATTGAGCAAATTTAACTACTCTATAAGTCTAAATTATTAAATTTTTGATTAATAAATGGCTAATGAAACGCTGCTAATATCTGATACATTAATAAATAAAATCCTAATAGGGAAGCCTTCAAAAATATTTCAGTTTCAAAATTGGTCAGAATAAATATTAAGATTGCTTTCTTAAATAACTTGATCTATTCCCAATAAAATACTTCAATTTTGTATTCATTCAATAAATAGGAAATATATCTCCTACATGAAAAATGTGAAACTTAAAATCAAAATTTATTCTGAAAATCACTATTAAAGCGATATTTAATAAAATTTTTATAAGGATCTTATATAATAGGAGAATCTCTTTATGGATAGATACATTTCTTTGTATATATTTGGTATAAATCAGTTAGTATGAAATTTGGTGAAGTATTCTATTGATTTATGCATGCTTAACATATTGGAGGACGATTTTCTTTTATAAATAAAAGTCATTCTTAATTTATAAAGTCTTAGTCGTTCAGCTTATATCTATGATTTTGAACACAAAAACAAGACTCAAAATTGTAATCAAATGTCTCTATTGTAGAATAAATAATTATTAACCAATTAATTAAAATAATTATAATTCTACAATTGTAAAAAACTAAAAGAAAAATAAAAATAAAAAGAATATTTTATAATGAATCATTATTCCTTTATATCTTATTCTAAAAAAATACTCAAACAGAAAAGAAGGGCTCAACTAGTTTATTTAGTATATTTTTCAATGCTAGTTTTAAAATGTACTTAAACTTTACCCTTAAATAGTCTGTATATAAAAGAAACATCTAAAAATAAATTATAAATGTATCTTTAATTATATAGCTGATAGTTTTACATCAGGTTATTGAATATTTTTTATTTGATATAAGATTTTTCAATAAAATGCTTAGCAAGCAAAATTAATTAATAACATATGTATATTATTAGTAAAATATTCAGTTACTTAATTATAGCACTCAAACTAAAAAATAATTTATATATTTACCCTTTATTATAATATATGGGACCCCTTTTTAATAATCAAGGTGCTTTACCTATAATTGTGATGTATAATGTCAATATATGTAATTTTTTCAATTCTGAAGAGGGTAATTTATTTAAATTGTTAATAATATTCAGGTTGTAAATTACCTAAATATCAGTTTTCTAAAGCTAAAATGATATATAAAATATTTTATTTTTACCTTTAGTAGAATTTGAAATAATGATATTGGTACAAGTTTAAAAAGCAAACCTTCTTTGTGATTATATACAAAATTTTTGAAACTTTAATTTTTTAAATCTTAAATAATTGTATTTAATTTTTTTTAATATCTTCGAATTGATATTAACAATTTTGGTTTGTAATTCAAAATTAACCATAATAATGGACTTATAATATTATATTATTATATTTTATAATTTAATCTAGCCTTTCTCCATAATAATTAAGTTTCATTCCAAGCTTCTTGCGTAATTCAATCTGATATTTTTAGCATTTACATTTCCTAATTAAAGCCATTTTGATAATGTTATTGACTAAAATGCTCTCTATAATTTTATAATTTTTAATCTAGCCATTCCGAAAGAAAATGAATATTTTAAGGCGTATTCTTAAAATTATAATAACCATAATTAATACTTCATTTAAATAAATTATAAACAAAAATAATATGGATCATCTGAATATATCTAAATCACTAAAATATATAGTTTCATCCTTTTATTTATATATTAATGAATAAATTATAGTAGTTTTTTGTAAAAATATTAAAATTTCAACTTTTAATCTTCTAAACATAATTAATAAAAAATCAATTAACAATTAGAAGTGGTTTAATTAAAGTAAAAATAATATTGTTCACATACTTAAGTGTTGTTCTCACTTATTTTATGGAATGCATTTTCATCTTGAAATTAATATTAATGTTAATGTAAAATATAATTTCGCTTACCAAAATATTGCTTCTCAAATTCTTAATATATGAAAAAATTTTTAGATTAAAATCTAACAAGCATTTACAAATTTTCTCCCTTATAATTTAATTGAATTATAAGTTTTTATTTGGAAATTCGACTCTTTGGATGAAGAAAGATTTGAGATCTATACAAATAATGTGTAAATTGAAAATTTAACATTGAATCAAGATAATGGTACAATGATATGTGGAACTGATTTTAGGTAAAATTTGCTTAAGCCTACTACAATAATAATTTAAATACTAGGAACTGATTTAATTGTTAAGTTATAAGACAATTTAAACACTAATTGTTGGTTTGAAGATCTCTAGGGATCATATTAATTGAATAATTTCTAGAATGTTTGGAAATTTAGAGACTTTATATAAGACTTACTGTTCAATGAGATAATTTTTTTAGTGAATGTTATTAGGTTATAAGGTTGGAATATTATTTTAAATATTTTAAGGCGAGTAATCAAATTGTAAAACTAGAAGGCCCCAAACTACTTTGAAGGAGGATTATAAGAGTTTACAGTCTCAAAGCCTTGTTTGAATAGTTATTTAGGTATTCGTGTAAATAATAATTTTCAGTTTCCAAAGGTTCCCTTTCAGAAATGATTAAATAACAAATTATTAAAAAATATTTTTGTAATATATAGTTCCCTTATAAATGCAAATTTTTCATATGATTGATGTTTAGAATTTGTCTCCACCAAATTTTTTCTTTCTCAGTTATTTCATCTTTATGAAAATTGCATGCAACATTTTCATAATGAAAATTCAAAGATATATTATTTTATTAAATTTTATTAAATTTACTCTTCCATTCTTCATATATATTTAAAAAATTTAATTTGATATACTCCTAATCTAATATGGCCATTTCAAATCCTTATTAATTTTGTTGGTTCATATAAAGTATCATTTCAATTATTATCATTTAGCATTTTGAAAATTAAAATTACTTCTTAAATATTTAATAACTAATTTTAAATCCTTTTTATTTCATGTTTAAAGTTTATATTTCAAAAATACTTAGCTAGGACTTCATTTGAAAATTTTTCATATTTTTCATTAGTATTATTATGATTTGGATTATTAGCCAAAAAAATTATTAATGATTTGAAGGCTAATTTGGAATCCTTATGGAATTCAATCATAAAAATAATTTCATATTAAAGTTTAAGGCATATTATAAGATATTTTTATGTTGTTGGTTTAGTTGATATGCAATTAAGATAAAATTATGAAGCAACGCAATAGAATCTAAATAATATTGAGTTCTTAGAAATATCAAACTCAAGAGATCTGGAAAATACAAGTTTCAAATGATCGCTTGTGGTTCAGAGTTTTCATATTGCTTTTAAAATTTTTACATTTTTTGGATTCTATTAACTTTAACCTCATGCTTTCATTAACTTAAAAGATAAAAAAATTAGCAATTGGCTCTACTCTACTTAAACTGAAAAATAGATAGTAAAATCAGTTTTAGAGTTTAATCATTTAATTATATTCCACCCAGGTAGAAGATGGGATCATAATTGGCCTTAAGAACATTAGAAATATATAAGCTAAGCAATACTAAAAAATTTTAACTAATAATGTTGAGAAAATTACTTGCAATAACTACAATAATTAACAAAAACTTTCAAAAATAAAATCATGCTTCGATATAAAAATTATTCACAACTAACATTACTGTTTTAAAATGGAAATTTACATTATTTAAATTTCATTGTTACTAATTTGATTCAAGTTCAACTTTGTTAATGATTTGCCTGTCAATAAATAATTAGTTCTAGAAACCTGAATAAAAACTCTTTATGAGAAAATTAACTCAAAAATTAATAATGCCAACTACTTTATTTAAATGAAAAAGCAATCTCAAATATAAGAGTACTACTTTTTCGCTTATAAGTTTATGGAAAATTCAGATGTCTATTTAACTTCAATAATATTAATAATATTGATCTTTAATCTTACATATTAAAAATTAATTCAATTTAAGGATGATATACACCTAAAATTGTCCATTGCCAATGAAAATATTCTTTTTTAGTTTGCTCAAACAATAAGGTTTTATCATAATTAATATAATAATAATAAATGCATTTTTTGAATACAACTTTAATTTGTAATTTTATTCATCAAATATCTCCCTTATTTCATGAGATATTTGAAAAAGGGTTTAAGTTATAAGAAATAATTTTATTATATAAATATTTCTCTTTATTTCTAGATTATATAAGAGATGGTTATTTATTTAATGAAATTTTATTAAAAAAGAATCTTTATGCTATTAATTAAAGATGAATATATAATTTACAATATATTAACAAGTTCTACCCTATATTTAATAAATTAAATTAATTTTAGGATATCTAAAAGAAAAAAAATTCATTTAAACCTTTTTCTTATCAAATATGCAACACAAATGGCACAACCAATTTTTAGGATAGGTTTAATATTTTATCCCAATGATTATAGTAGCGCAAAAATACTTCCTCCTGGGACATCTCCATAACTTGATTAGAGCTTGGAAGCATAGCTCTTTGATCTTGGACCATCTGAAGTGAAACCTAAATAATTAAAAAGAATTAAGACAAATAAACAAAACCCTCCTCCTAAAATCAATCCTTTAAGAATTTTTCTAGGTAATTTTTATATCACCAAGAATAAGCTATCTTTTTACATTATTTAATAAATATATTTATCCAAAAGAATCCTGAATTAATTAATTTATAAAGTGTTTTTTATAATTGTACTCTCACCCTTTTTTAAAAACATCCATATTAAGCTATATATTCAATAAGAATATAATTAATTTACATGCTTTTGATTTATAACCAAAGCTTTTTCATACTATTTATTTAATAGACTATTCAATTAATTCATCCCACTTATTTCACAGTTTTAATTTTTTATTCTCAATAGGTAGCCACCTTGATTATTTAATTCAATTAACTTTACAACTCATGCTTAATGAATTTATATGCTGGGGATTAATAATCAATATAAAAGATTCTTTATATTGATTCTATTTAAGTATACTATAGTGACTTTTTTAATTAAATAAGATTATTACTTAGTCGATAAAATCATAATTAACAAATTGATTTCAAATTTAATGATTTAAAAAATAATTTTAAGCATCTTTATCAACTTATAAAAATATTATAATGATAACAATATTTGTTTATTATAGGCATAATCCTTAAATTATGGATAATATAATAATTCTTCCTAATATGCATCTGACTAGATATATCATTTAAAACTTTATCATAAACATTTATTGTCAAAGTGTGTCTCTAATTCTTATATAACAAAAGTTAACTTTGTACTACTTCAAAGCTTCTTTATCATTAGTAGATTTCTTCTTTAAAAAATTTAATTAGAACATTACTATTAATCATTCACCTTAAATATTGAAACCTAATAACTTAAGATTTATTAAGGAAAAAAATAATTTAAGATATAGTCCATAAAAATAAATTAGAATTTTCACTTTGATAAAATAGTTTAATTTTGGAAATTATTATGCCAATATTTATAATGCCTCTTCAAAAATATTCAATTTTTTATTAATGAGTTCTCTAATAGCAATAATTAATATTCTTTTTAGTACATATTTTCTAAATTTTAGGGTTTAATTAACAATTTCTTATCAAATAATTGAATTGCATCATCTGATTGAAGATACTAATTATTGTGGCTTATTCAAATTTATGTAAAGAGATACAAAATGAAATAATTTAATTTGGAACCTTATTAACATTCTATCTGATTAAATATTAAATATCTAATATATTATAAGATGATGCTTAATTTAAAAAGAAAAAACTTGTAATTAACTAGATTAATTATAATTCTAATTAAATAAAAAAGTTCAATCTAAAATTTTTCAAATAGATTCTATTATTTTTGTTTTTTGTTGGAGTGCTGTTAGTCATGAATTCATTAAATTTATCTTCTAATCGAAAGAATTTGTATTAAAAACAGAAATCAAGGCAGAAAATTCTAATCGTTTAAAGTGTAGATATTTAATAATCTTTTCATTTGAAATTAAATTTCTATTGAAATTCTTAGTTGATAATTTAAATTTTCAAATATATTTTCCAAATTTATTTCTTAAAATTTTTAAGAAACTCAAAGCTTTTCATAAAAATTTAATAATGCTTAAATAAGCCAATTTAAATTTTTCAAACTCAAATTGAAATGATAATGAAAAGCTAAACAAATTTATAAGATTTTTATATCATTAATCCTTGCAAGCTTTTAGTCAAATATAAATTTATTTCATATGAATAGCTATTTATGTTGAAAAATTCTTCAGAATGAAAAAATTGATATATAAATTACTTTCATTGTTGTTTTTTAGTTATACTAAATTCATCATCAGTACGTTCATATCAAACTTAAGTTGAAAAAAATGTAGGAGTTCTTTAATATAAAATAATGTTAAATATTATCACAATTCTAGAGGCTATTTTTTTTTAAATTATTAAAAGATCTTATGTAGATTTTGAGAATCAAAAGAATATGCAAATAAGTAGAGTATTTTTTTATTGTTCTAATTAAAGTATTATGATGCTTGAGAATGTAAAAATCAAATTAATGATTATTCTTTGGTAGATGCGAATACGATAAACTATTTTCATTTCTAAATAATGCTTAAACCAATCTATTTAAAATGCATTAAATTCTTAATAAATAATAAATTATTTAGTTTATAATTCTCTCAAAGTTTTTAAGCTTGTTAAATATTTAATACAGTAAAAATTGTTATATTAATTATCCTCCCCCCCCAGTCTAGCCAACGAGTAAGAATGTGAAGCTTCTCTTTAGGGGCTCAGATTTTTTTTGTTCCTCAGGCATCTTGTTTGTTTCTGTCGAAGTACTTCACTCGGAAGGCTGAAGAGGCTTGGATATATGCTGAAGATGAGTCCTCCGAATTCAGGCAGAGGCAGATATCTGAGTACCACATTAAATAGGAGCTGTTCATTCCCTGTAAATTTTATACAAAAAGAAGGAATGTTAAGAAAAAGAAGGTAGGAGTATTAAGAGGTAGAGCTGAGATGAAACCTACCCTTAAAGTAGTATTCTTTAGCAAGTTAAGTAATACAAGCGCGTCGAAGCCTGGTCGTGGATCCGAAAATATCAACCAAGTTGGTTACCTGAGACTCAATAGGATCTTTTTTAATTATGAGGAACCCGTAAAATTTTAGTAAAGTCAGTTATAAATTGAATTAAAAATTTTAGGAACCCTATTAAAATATTTTAATGAAAAATGTATATAAGGGAAATTACTAGAACATAACCGGGCATATTTCATGACTCAATGTTCCGATTCTTGATGTTACTACTTTATAAATTGATCAATTTAGAGGGAAAAGTTATAATTAAATGATTTGCCTCTATTTGTTAAGCAAGAAACCAAAAATAATTATTATGATTATCTCAAAGGTCAATTTCTTTTCTTCAATTCATAAGTTTTAATTCAGATAAATGCAAATAGGATATTATGTTAATAAAATTACATCTATCAAAATCTAGCATTTTTTACTATTATATTTAATTTATAACATCTTCTATTGTATTTCTTATAATTTCTATTTGATGTTTTCTTTATCTGATTTTTTTAATTTTATTTATCTATTCTGTAAGAAATTCTTTTATTTTGATTATCAGAAGATTGCTGGGTCAATTCAAAAAGTTTTTAACTTTAGCCTATGTAATGATTACTTATATATTCTAATATCCATTTAATTTTTGTTGATGTCTTTTATATAAGAGCATCAATATCTCTAAATATTAAATATTAGATTTAAGTTTGCGATTATATTCAATTAAATAGATATTCTTATGACTTTTGTTTATATCAAAAAATTTAAAAGTTGTTCGCTTTTTTCAATTCTGATATAATTTACTTTTCTTTATTGAAAAATTTGGAATATAACCTAAACATCCATATGTAATTATTATATATATATATTGATTTTAAATTGCCTTCATAATTTGGTTAAAGATATTTGATCATCTTATGCATCGCACAAATCACTTCATAGGTAATAAAAACTGCCATGAAATAGATAGCTTAACCTAGAAATTGTTTTTGAATTCTAAAACTAAAAAATTAATGATAAAGAGTTGACTTTGTAGAAAAATAAATTCAATAGATAATATTCGAATATAATGAAATGCCTTGAAGCCAAAATATTATTGAGTTTCCAAATTACATTTTTATTCATAGTAATATTTCACTTTGGTACCTTTTGTCATTCTTAATTGGATTTAATTTTATCTTAATAATTACAATAATAAATGTCTTACCAATGAAAATTGATTTAATAATTTACTTTTACATCTATAAATTAAAAAACTTAATACTTAAATATTTTTATTATTATCTTGGAAATGCTTAAATTGGGTAAATCAGTATTAATTCATTAAATTTAAGAAAATACAACACTTTTATAAAATATAAATTATATTGAATATTACATATAATAAATATTCTAACATATTTCATAATTTTTATATTATAATATTCATTATTCCTTATACTTTCTTATTTAGATTTCCTTTGAACTAGTATCCCAAGTAATCAAATACTCTCCATCATCACTTAATTTCTCATAAATATTTTGACTATTAAATTAAATAGATTAACAAACAATAAAGTCACCATTTTATTTCTTTCTAATTAAATTCACATTCTTGCCATTCTTATTCACAAGTAGGCATTTTGACTTTATGTATTATTATGGAAATAAACAATCACAACTAATTGAATCACACATTACTGTAATTTCCTTAATCTTATTATACTATTTATTATTAGAATCCATCTCATATATATACATTTATTCTTTACATGTAGGTTAAAATGTAAATAAGTTATCATTAATAAAACATAATCGTTATCCAAACATATCAACTTTTATCTTTTATGTAACAATCCACTATTTATTAAATTTAGACTATTCTATTACTAATATTTATGAATCCTTTGAACAAGATATCAATTTATTTTACTATTCATTTAAACTTAATGAACATACGGAATCAGTATGATCACTTATGGTTTATTAACATATCCATTAATTATATTTCATCCAAAACTTAATTGTAGCCCCATAATTACCTGATATTATGAGATCATCAGTATTATTTAACAATAAACACAATATACTATAAGAATCTCCATTTAATATTTATTAACAATTCCATTAATTATTTCCCATCACCTACCATATTATAATTGTATTATCTACACTTCCAGATACAAAATTATTTGTCTTTTTCATAAAGTTTAAAGTAAATACATCATTTATATGCTTACTCAATAATTAAACTTGAATAAATTTCCCTTATTGATGTTCAAATACTTTAATTTCCTTACTACATCCAGCTATTACGATAGTTTAATCTTTATTAAAAGCTAATGCAAAAGATATTTTATCTTATTTAATTGAGTTTTAATTCATGAGCTCAAAGGTGAATTGGTACTTAGTTGTTTTTATGACTATATTTATTTTAATTCTTTTCTTTCAGAATTTTGAAAATACTAATTACACTTTTCCTTTTGATTTGTTTGATTATTTATTTTTTTTAATATCTAATCTATAATCTATTTGATTTATTCAATAGAATATTAAAGTTGTTTAAATAATATTTTCTCGCAACTTTCCAATTAACATAACCCTTTTATCATGTTATCAATCTATTAAATTCCTATTTCTGAGAATTACTATATATTAAAATTAAGAGAAGGAATCAACAAATTGAGAACACTATCAAGGGATAATTTACACTCTTAAACATTCTTCTATACATTTTGAGCATTAATGATTCGTTTCTAAATCCATTCATTAAAATGTTCAAAATATGTTAATTTATCAAGATGTTGACCGTGTTGAGGCAAACAAAAATGACAATAAGGCCTTTAATTTGGGCATGTGATATCTATACAAAATCCAATTATTTATAGATTTCGATGATCAGGTTAGGCACATCTTATCTACATTTTCTATTTCTATTAAAACTATTATTTAAATACAAATAATCTTTGGTCATACAAATATCCAAAATTCAATTATAGAATTTATATTTGAAAGAATTATTTAAAAATAATAAGCTAAAAAGAGATCTTTTACAAAATGATTGAAGAGTGCAATGCCATTAAATAGAATAGGCAGACATAAAAAAATAATAATCATAATTAACTAAATTAACTAAATCATCTACACAATTTTCAAAAATGAAAAATTATATTATTAAAATGCAATGTCCATATAAACTTGATTTTTTTATTTTGTTATTTTTTAAATTTCAGGGAAGGAATAATATATATATACTTAAATACTCCTCAAATCATAAAATATAAATATTGGTAAGTTATAAGATATTTCATTTATTCATATCTCTGATTATATATATATTTGATTTTTGATGGCAAAAAATTCAAAAACTACCCATTATTAATAATTTATTCTAAAGTATTAAAATTAAATATTTGAATAATAAATTAATCATAATTATAAATAATTTCATTCTTTGATTAGTTAATTTTGACTTTATATCTTTCTATTAAGATGTTTTCTTTCTTTATAATATATTAATGGAGAGTAATAATATCTATTAATTTTATGATTTTGTTTGAACTCTAATTAAAAAATTTAAACATTAAAATAAAATAAAATTTTATTTATTGTACCTAAATGATAATTTTTGAGATGAAAATACAATAAATAAAGCACTCAGTTTATTCTCCGATTTATTTAATTAAAAGCACCCTTGTCTCGATTATTAAAGAAAAAGATAAAAAATTTATCTCTTAATGTTAAAAATAACTTAAAAACTTTTGATGATTAATAGCAACACCTTCAATTTGTTCATCCTCTTTTAGTATGATTTTGCTATCTCAATTTAATTGCCTATAATGATCAAGAAATAGAATTATAGATAAATATATTGTTATTACGTAAATAGTATAATTATTAATTCTTGACATTTTCTTCTAAAATTTATTCATCTATTTTATTCAGGATCTTAAATATACTGTAATATGTAGATTATTTTTGCTTTCTCCTACAAGAATAGATTTATGTGCCTATCACAACTGTAAAAAAATGAAGGAATATTAAATTATCTAATTAATTAGTTGGATTTCTTCATAATTATTCGACTTAAATTCCATTAAATAAAATCCTAAAAATACTTAGGCTTATTATTCAGCAAAAATGGACAATTACAATAGCATATTTATAAACTAAAAATTTTATTTAATCAATTATCTAGAAGCTGAAATGAATATTTCAACAATTTTCTTGGTAATAACAATATCATCTAAGGTAAACTTACATTTTTCCTGATATTTTATCTTCTTTAGGTTTAATACCTTACTAAAATTATAAAAAATATCTTTAAGAATCAAGAGAAGGTATATAAAGGCAGTTTTAAAAATTTTTAGATTTATCAAAAAATTTTTCAGAAGGAATCACTTACGCTTAAAAAAGAAACTTTTGTTCTTAATTAAATAACCTTCCTATTAAAAAACCAATAAGATGCAATTAAATAATTAACTTAAAAACTGCCAAAGAGACACGCTCTAAATTTAAATCAAGAGGAAAGTTAGATCAACATTGATCTTCTTCCTAATAAAAGATTATTCAAATTATATCCCAAAATTTGTAAATAGCTCAATTNTACCTAAATGATAATTTTTGAGATGAAAATACAATAAATAAAGCACTCAGTTTATTCTCCGATTTATTTAATTAAAAGCACCCTTGTCTCGATTATTAAAGAAAAAGATAAAAAATTTATCTCTTAATGTTAAAAATAACTTAAAAACTTTTGATGATTAATAGCAACACCTTCAATTTGTTCATCCTCTTTTAGTATGATTTTGCTATCTCAATTTAATTGCCTATAATGATCAAGAAATAGAATTATAGATAAATATATTGTTATTACGTAAATAGTATAATTATTAATTCTTGACATTTTCTTCTAAAATTTATTCATCTATTTTATTCAGGATCTTAAATATACTGTAATATGTAGATTATTTTTGCTTTCTCCTACAAGAATAGATTTATGTGCCTATCACAACTGTAAAAAAATGAAGGAATATTAAATTATCTAATTAATTAGTTGGATTTCTTCATAATTATTCGACTTAAATTCCATTAAATAAAATCCTAAAAATACTTAGGCTTATTATTCAGCAAAAATGGACAATTACAATAGCATATTTATAAACTAAAAATTTTATTTAATCAATTATCTAGAAGCTGAAATGAATATTTCAACAATTTTCTTGGTAATAACAATATCATCTAAGGTAAACTTACATTTTTCCTGATATTTTATCTTCTTTAGGTTTAATACCTTACTAAAATTATAAAAAATATCTTTAAGAATCAAGAGAAGGTATATAAAGGCAGTTTTAAAAATTTTTAGATTTATCAAAAAATTTTTCAGAAGGAATCACTTACGCTTAAAAAAGAAACTTTTGTTCTTAATTAAATAACCTTCCTATTAAAAAACCAATAAGATGCAATTAAATAATTAACTTAAAAACTGCCAAAGAGACACGCTCTAAATTTAAATCAAGAGGAAAGTTAGATCAACATTGATCTTCTTCCTAATAAAAGATTATTCAAATTATATCCCAAAATTTGTAAATAGCTCAATTTTAATTTATCATTTCATCATATTATGAACTATAGTCAGAATTATTAAATCAATTGAAAGATAAAAATGTTAATTAAAATTCAATAAAAAGAGTTTAAAGAAGTTTATTATCAATATTGAACATTTAGTACTTTTATGTTTATAATAATATTACAAATAATAATATGCAATGCTCATTATTACTGAATCTTTCTTATTTTATTTATTATATAATCTTAAGAAGGATGGTTAAATGCTAAAGGAATTTTGAAATTGTTGATAGATAACTTTTTTTAATTCAAATCATTTATTTGATAAAGAAAATTCTGGTATAGTAAAGATATCACTTCATCATAGCATATTTTGCTTCATTTTATTATTGAAATTTTTGTAGAGTATAACCTAAAAGTCAATTCTGAATATAAACCTTTTTTTAAAAAGTTTAAGCTTAATTTGAAACAATTGAAATTGTTTTATCATAACAAATTATTGCTTAATCATATTATTTCAATTTTTGTAATATATCACCTAAATTCAATTGTGAATATAAACCTTTTTTTAAATAGCTTTAAGCCTTATTAGATCTAGTAAAATTGCCTAATCATAGCAAATTAGTGCTTGATCATATTATTTAAATCTATTTAAAGTATTACCTAAAATCCACTTTAAATAAAACCATTGTTAAAAAAGGCATTAAAATAATTTTGATATAGTTTAATCTCCTTTTCATTCGTAAATATTGCATCTTAAAATTGATTTTATAGATTTATTTTATTTTATCATAATACCTTATTTTTTAAATAAAAATAATCATAATTTTTACTTAATTCAAATAAGTAGTTTCAAGCTACCTATTATGCATTATTTACTAATTAAAATTTTTTTTTCACATTATTTCTTTAAGTTATAAATATCTGATATAATAGGTTTTTATAATGATACTTTTCATCACTAAATCCTAAACCTTAAAGCAGTCTAAACATAATATTGTATTGCAATATATCATAATTTTATGATCCTTTTTAAAATTATTCAAAACATTGCTTCTATTGAAACTTTTTTCTACATCGTCTTTTAATTTTCATTTTATCATACTTTTTAATATAACAAAAGCTGTATCACTTCTCTTTGACTTAAATTTTCCTCTCCAAATATTAGTATTTAATCTTTCAACTTAGGATATTTCAATTATAAATTTTCTAATATTTCATATGTTTAACAATTTTAACCTATTAGATTATATTAGCAAGCCATCAAAATAAAAAATAATACAGCATCTTAATTTGATATTTTTTATACATTAAAAAAGCTTTGATAAAGGATAGTATGTATCTTCTTTAAAACTATTTCAAATTTTACTAAAACAAACTAGCTATCCTTCTTGATTACGATTATGAATTTAAAACTAAATCAGTTTAATTCTATTTCCTCTTTCAACCCTAATAATTAAATTTATGAATTTAGAGATTAATATTTTCTTTTTCAAATTCAGAGTTTATAGGATAATGTTGCATTATATTATACTAGGAACATTATTAAAAAAGTCTTTGAATCTTAGTTCTATCAAAATTAAAATCAAATCTTCAAATTTAAGCAATTCTTTATAATTTTCTTGATTGTTTATATAGGGACTTAGGCCCTTCAAAATTCTTATCAATTTACTCTAAAATTTTCTTCAGCATTTATAAAATTATATCTAATAGAATGATGACTTCATAAAAATTTTTACAATCATTTATACAGTTTAAACATGTTTAAGGATTGATTAAGCATTCAACAAAAAATTAAGATTATCTTCCTTGCAATCATATTTATTTTCCTTTATGTTGGACATTTTGATAAATAAGCATCCATTTAATAAACTTTATTCCAAGAAGCTTAAGAAGGATAATCTTAGAAGTAAGAATATTGACAGGATTTATGAACGTATGAATCTTTTGAACAAACAACTCCTTTTTTCTTTGAGTAACACCTAAAGAGTAGATTTTCCTAATTGATTTATTTTTAAATTAGTTACTTCATATTAAATTTGAAAGGATATGTTTCTTAATTTAATCAGATTTATGCTTCATTGATTTCAAATTGACTGCTATGAATTTAATGCTTGTCATCAATGCCCAAATTTGATTTTAAATATGACAACTTATGTTTTCACTGAATTAGATGGCATCAAAATTTAACATTTTTGTTCCTGTTAGATTCTTTGCATAAAGTAAAAACGTTCAATAATAGTTTGATATACATAAAATATTATTTCATAAATAAATTAAATGGACAATATTTAAAAAATAACATTATACTAATTTGAAAGTTTTTATTATGCCTTCTTATTAGTTTAATTTAATGAACATGAATAAAAAATTGTCAGAGGGTACTTCTCATTAGAAGAGCCTTTATCTATCTATTTTTTAATGATAACAAGAAATTAATTTAAAAGGGTTTATTTGTTGGTCAATTTTTGTTAATTCAACACTAAAGATTTTTATCTTAATCTGCCACAATTTATCAATCAGAACCTAAAAATGATTATTTAAGACGACTCTTAAATTGTCTTCATTATTGAAAATATACAAAGTTATTTTACTAATTATGCATTTAAAAAGCATAAATATTTCTTTGCTTTAATGAAAGGACTGATGTTTAATTTAAATTTACAAGCTGAAGATTGGCAGTTATTAATTTATTATCATAATAAAAATTTATAATATTAATATTTGTTAAAATATGTCATGCGGAAGGGTGAATTCTTTTTCGAATACTCCTGAAATTTAGTAAAATACATAATTTAATATAAAAGGGTTTTCCAATCTGAAGCATATGAATAATTTCTCATAATTAGATTTACTAAATTGCCTTTTAACTTTCTTATTCTAAGAGCGTTTGGAAAATCTTTATCTATAATATCTATATATTGACCAACTTGATTAAAACTTATTTTATAAACTAGTCAATTTTCTACTAATTTCATCAGATTTAACTTTGAAGGCTTGATTAAATCTGAAAAATAAAATTATTAGCTTCCTTTAAATTAATCTCTTACTTTAAATCAAAACATTAATTCTTATAAAAACAAAACTAACAAGAGAAAGGTTATAAACATATATGACATCCATCCTCAAACATGACATTACTGTCATCACATTATTCGTCTTCAACAACTATTTTATCTCTGCATAAAGGAGTGCAAGTACCATTAATATTTTAAAATCCACTCTTCCATACTAACAAACATTTCCTCCTATACTAAAGCTCTAGCATTAAGAATTACATTTCGGATCGGGATAGTAATCATAAAGCAGGAATACTTAAGTAAATAAAAACCTTCTTGAAATCATAACAAAAATCCAGGCAGCAATTTGAACAAGCAACAGGGCAACTAAAAGATAATTAATGACAACCATCACAAAATATTAAATTCCCATCATCACATTCTTCACCTTCTGTTAAATATTGTCTCCACTAATTGAATAACATAAATTATCAATTTTTTTGTAACCATTCTTACAAGCTTAGCAACCTAGTCCACTATTATCACAAATAATGCAAAAGGATTAACATTTTGCTTTGCAATTCTAAAAACCCTTAAAGGGCAATATAAATGTATCCTCACATTGTTCATTCGGTGATATTATTTGATCTCCTCATATTGGAATTCACATAAATCATTAAATATTAAATATATTTCCATCATCACATTATTTAGTATAGAATCCATCTGGATCTGTTACAACTAATCCATTTCCACAAATATTTCTGCAATAATACAAAAAACTGAAATAAATCCAGGCAATAACAACTTAAACAAGTTTTTGTATTACAATAGCAAGTAGAACATCCAATTCTACAGAAATATTTACAATTTTTGCATCCATTTATATCAACTTGATTTCCATCATCGAATTATTCTTATCCAATTACAAGTTTATCTCCACATCTTTCTTTATTTGGATTCACAAAATTTTTAAATATATTTAATATATTGGATTCAGGTTATTAAATACTGAAAAAACTTTTGTGATTCAGATAAAGTTGTTGGATTGAAATTAATTGACATCAAGTAAGCGGATGTCTTTTTACATCTTGTATTCTTTTTATATTTAGCTTTCATAATGGAAAATAAATATTAGAAATGAGTATTTATATAAATATACTATATACGAAAAATTTGCAAATAATTGAAAATAAAATATATCATTAAAATTGATGATTCTAATAAATTACTTTTTTAATATTCAATAAATGATATCAAATCAATTAACATGTGGATGAACAACCTGTATCCACATTTTCAGCTTTATTTTAAGATGAATAATAATATGATTTGACAGCATTTTTAAATATATCCCTTAGCTTTTTCTTTTATTCCTATAATATTTTTCCTTAGTTTTTTTCTAAATAGCTTAAAATAATAAAAGTATCTTCTATTCCACACATCCAGTATATATCTTTTAATCCTGAAGAACTACTTTCTTTTATTAACAGCTTGTCAACTGTTTAACTAAAAGTTGTTTATTTTCTTTATTTTATATTCGGCTTTTGCTAATTACCCAAAGAAATTGCTGTCATTTAGACTTCAATTTCTAATTTTTATGGATCAACTGCAAAAAATTGTAGTATTTAATTTAGAATTCTTACTCTTGTATTAAATTTATTCACATTGCTTTAATCAATTGCTTGATCTAGGGCAGCATTTATAATTTAAAAGGCATTTTCAATATAAGGAATTGATCCAATGTTCGGAATTTTTTGAACTATATTTAATACTTTTTCTGAGTTATATTCAATAACTGCATTTTGGTTTATTTAAAGTAAATCTGTAGAGATTTTTTACATAACTTTTAAAAAATTATAAAGCCTCCAAAATAAAGATTGGTAGTAAGTTTTTTTATGAACATTTTGCGGTTTATTAAATTCATGTAATAATACTTATATTTAATTTCTATCTTTATGAATCAACACATTTAGATCTTCTTTTATAGAGTTCAATTATGTTTCTTATTCATCTTTTTCTTTTATTACCTTAGCATAATCTTTTTTTAATTGTAATAACTCTTATTTACATTTTTTAACATTTTGTAATATTTAATTCAGTTATTTGTTTTAAACATTTTAAATTTAAGGCTTTATTGTTTGAGTGATAGGGATTGACAGAATAAGGCTGATTTAATTTTTAATTTCTTAAATTTTTTTTTCATAATTTTGCACTATTTAAATTTAAGTTGAGTTTACAGTAGGTAGATTCTAAACTATTCGTTTAGATTCCAATATTTATTTTAAGAATCCTTTTAGGATATCAATTTAAGTTTTTAAGTAATTAATATTTTTTTCACTTAAAAGTAGCTTCTTAATTTCAGATAAACTTAAACTTTGTAAGGAGTTTCTTGCTTTTTGCAAATATTCTAGAGCTTATTGATCAT